CAGCCATACTCAGCGGTCACCGTAAAACTAATGTGACAGTAGATGTGCTGTGAAGCCTCGTAATGTCGACAAGATAACAGACGTTATGTAATAAATAGCCTGAGCAGATATGCACGTGTCAGCTGCCACCTTCATAGTGTACGACTTGGCTGACGGAGTGTCTGCTCTTCTACGTCAGTGTTTAAGCACGCAACGCTTGAAGCCTAGATGTTGACGCTGGCGGGGGAAGGGGAGGCCACATATCTGCCCCACAACTGCATTAAAAGAAAAAGCTGACAAAAGTGAAGAAGGAAACATACCAAACATTACGAATGAAAATACAAGTAGTTTTAAAAATAATTATGTAGTTGGTTGAGGGGCTATGCTACAAGCCGAAGGCAGTGATTAAATAAATGTGTCACATGTACCAGTTGTCTTTTTGGAAAATGCCTGAGGCATTCGTTTTGAATGCAGTTAAGTTCACAAGTCTTTTTCAATTTCAGTTATCTTTACTAATTTCCGTACGTCACATAGCCTTACTTTTTCCAGCGTGGTGTCGTCTACAGATGCGAGCAGAGCTTGAACTCTAGTCTCGACCCATCGCTCATGGTTCTCTTCAGGCAGGTCATGATATATGAAATGGTTTTCTAAACAGTCCGCAGTCATGTTGGCTTTCTCGTTTGGGTGATATGTTATTTCGTAGTCTCCGCTCATGTTTGAGCAGACTCTCCAGGCCAGACAGGTCTTTATTACGGTTCGAGAGTGTAATTTTGCTTGTTTACAGCTTCTACGCCGAAGCTATAGAGGCAGGAAACTCGCGGGCCGCGACCCGGGTTACTTGCCATAGTTTCCGTAGTCTCCGCTTGTGTTTGAGCACTCTCCAGGCCAGACAGGTCTTTATTACAGTTCGAAAGTGTAATTTTGCTTGTTTACAGCCTCTACGCCAAAGCTATAGAGGCAGTAAACTCGCGGGCCGCGACCCGGATTACTTGCCATAGTTTCCGTAGTCTCCCCTTATGTTTGAGCAGACTCTCCAGGCCAGACAGGTCTTTATTACGGTTCGAGAGTGTAATTTTGCTTGTTTACAGCCTCTACGCCGAAGCTATAGAGGCAGGAAACTCGCGGGCCGCGACCCGGGTTACTTGTCATAGTTTCCGTAGTCTCCGCTTATGTTTGAGCAGACTCTCCAGGCCAGACAGGTCTTTATTACGGTTCGAGAGTGTAATTTTGCTTGTTTACAGCCTCTACGCCGAAGCTATAGAGGCAGGAAACTCGCGGGCCGCGACCCGGGTTACTTGTCATAGTTTCCGTAGTCTCCGCTTATGTTTGAGCAGACTCTCCAGGCCAGACAGGTCTTTATTACGGTTCGAGAGTGTAATTTTGCTTGTTTACAGCCTCTACGCCGAAGCTATAGAGACAGTAAAGTTGCGGGCCGTTTTATCGACTTCTTCCCCCGAGTTAATTTGGATTCTGGGTTAAATTATTTCAGAGACCAGGCTTTGAAACCGCTTCCAGTCTGTGAATTTGTCAACCGGGTCCAAAAATTCTTAGTTCTTACTTAATCCAGGAAGTGGAAAACGGTTGGTAGGCAGCCCTGAGGCCACAGTATCAGAGACAGTGACTTCTGACAGTCGGGCGTTCTTGTGCACAACATCGAGCTCGTTACCCTTTCCCTCAGGCGAATAAGTATGACATTGTGGTGCTGACATTTCAAACTCATTTACATGCGATAAATTCAGTAGTTTCGCACCTGAATGATGGAAGCTACACTATTCCAGAATGGATGTTTAGCATTCAGATCTCCTGCCATTAGGGACTTATGCATTATTATTATTATTATTATAGGGGGTGGGTTTCCACATGCACCGCGACTAATAGTCTATTGTACGCCCCCCTTTAATATTCTACCAGTCTCCATACCCTGCCGGTACTGGTGCTCGCTATCAGCCCCGTTCAGCCAGCGAGGCTGTCTGTGGTACCCGATGCTTACCAATCTACCGGAGGCATTGTAAACTATTTGGGCGGGAAACTTTTTACCTAATAATTTTGCTTAGAGGTCTCCTAGAGACATAAGGATCTTTTACGTGCCGTAACTGTACAACACGGGACCCACGGCTTAAAGTCCCTCCCGGAGGACTTGTTCCCTGAATTTTTCCGCCCTTAGAAATTCCACGACCTCCGCCGGGTTTGAACCCGCGTACCTTGAGTCATGAGGTGGGAACGTTACCCCTAGACTACGGAGGCCGCTAAGTTTAAGAGCTAAGTGTTGTCTACAATATTCCAGACGTGGCCTGGTGAGGTATAGACTGCTCCAAGTAGCACTTCACTCTTACCATTCGGTATGCAGAGGCCCTGCGGATTCTGTTGAAACATGGCTATGGGGAATGCCTTTTCTAACTGCAACCGAGCGGTCAGTACTATAAAAGTAATAATTTGGAACAAAGAACCTTGTGTGGTTTGACACGTATCTCTGAGAGCAGAGCCACATCTATATGTAAGGCCCGCAGCTATTTACTGAGCTCAAAGCGCTGTCTCTAAATGCTGTGACTTTGAGCGACCTCTGAAATATAGCAGTAATTTTTTTCATCAAGGTAATTACAGTTTTGTATTCATCATTATCTTCTCTTTTTCTGACACCGTTTCACCGAGCTCTATCATGATCTGTTGCACTACAGTGGCTGCTTTTATCGTGTCATTGGTAGAACTGGGAGACTGTACTGACACACCTGTTCTCTGAATTTCCTGTTGTGGCAAATGCTGCTGTACGGGGCGGGGGTTACAAGCTTTCCCCATCTCTCTGCTATGCTGCTAGTTGCTGGTATTGCGTGTCTTGACACAGTGCAGCTTTGAAGGTCTTCTCTGGTGAGGTGAACTTAGAGAAGAACGTCCTCCCAGAGAGTCCCTTGGGATCTCATTATGTTCTCCTTTCGCATGGCTGCAAGCTCCGTGTGACGCCGGATGAGGTTTCTCTTCTAGTAGGGTGCAGATGCGACAGCTAGACGCAGATCATGTATTCGTCTTTTCGGGGAATTCCCTATGCAGTTGGCCACCGTTGCGTCACACACATCGAGTGGGTTGCTTGCAATTGGCCAGACATGACCAAAGGTTTGGTAGTTGTAGCATTGCGTAAGGTCAGTTTGACCTCTGTATAACTCTACCGTGAAGATAATATGGTTTAGGCTATTCAGCTTGAAAATCTCATGAGATTTTAAGTTTCGTGTTAAAATTACAAGAAATAGAGAGGGGTTCCACATGGGCTTGTCCGTTTCGTGCTATTCGAGTGGCCGTCGTTTGCCTTACGTTGATGACGTTGAAACCTAAGTCATCAAGGTTCTTGGAAATATTTTAAGTTGCGTGTCTGGGGAATGGTGACGGATTACTGTCTTGTGGAGAAGGTAAAATAGTGGGAATTATTTCTCTCCAGGTAGGATTTCATGGTTGAATAGTCCGCCATTTCTTTTGTAATGAAACCGGTTCTATTTAGTGTATTTAGGAACTCGTAATCACCTTTGGCGTGGTCTTTTAAGTCGTTTTGAAGTTAAATGAGGTTTATGATAGAAGTCGTCGTTATTGGTGGCGGTATACCTGGTTTTGCGGGAGCCTTCTGATCCGGTAGTTTGTTCTCTTCTCCAGTTGTCTCCGTGTTCACGTCAGTAGCTCAGAGAGGTGGGAAGAAGTTGTGACTTATCACTGCTTTTGGAGCCAGGGTTATATTGCGACTGGTTTAGTCAACTTCTTGGCTGTCTGCCAGGTATTACGTAGAGATATGCCTCTTGCTTCTCCTTATTTCCTGAAAGTCGTAATCCTGGGTCGCTGATTACACTGATGGTTTTTTCTCGCTACACCACTTTGTCCTGCCTGTGCATTTGCCTTTAGGGCGGCCTTCAATTCATTCACTGTTGCCGTGTACATGCCCTAAAGAGCACTAAAAAGCAGTGTCACATCTAGACCTTTGTACATTTTGCTGCGTTTTCTCCACGCTATACACAATAGAGGTCCACTCAGAGCTTTCCCCCGCTTTAGCCGATGTGCAACCAGCAAGGTTCTTATTGTCACTTAGTAATCTATATACTTGTTTCATTACAGTACTTGCATTTGTGTATTTCTTCCTGATGGAATGACATTCAGATTTCAGCGATGCTGTTTCTGTGTTCAGTATTGCCGGAATCCCGGTACTGGAACGTCCGCCATCTTGATGTACTCTCATCGCTAGTTTTGTTGTCTCGCACAGCAGTGCGCACACCGGCGGCCGGGCTGCAAACTTCACCGAAACCACCACGAGAATTGACCGTGAACACGCTACATAAACTGAAGTTCGTAAAAAAAAACCACTGTGGAACATACGTTTTGTTCAGATCACTAAATCAAATCAAGACCTGGTGTGAGGGTTACCCTAATCTCCCGGTCAACAGTCACTCACTCCATAGAGGCCATTCAATCTCACATACCCAATGTCACTGTCTCTTCTCTCATCCTGTCCTCTGGCTTGTCCAGCTGGCCTCCTTATATATCCTCAGCACGGACCGCATAGGACACACTGTATTCGTGGTGTCCAATGTTGTGTTACTATTTCCCACCAATTCCTGGATTGTCGCGCGCGTATTATTTGCAGTGGGAACGTGTTTGCGTAGCCGTTCCTTAGCAATGGGCGTCATCTCTGGTTCTTCTATTTCGGTTTTTAGACATATGTCGCAATACATATAGTTAAGCAGGATTTGTGACTCGTGACACAGTTGCCATGCAGTGAGCAAGACGCGATAACCTCTACTGCTTTAATGTAATTTCTTAGCTTCATTAGATACCCCCTGGTCTCATGAAATGAACTCAGCGATTGCGTCATGGCCACGTAACGATTTCACTTCTGTTTTAACAAATATCACATTGAAATTATCGGAAATTCTAAACCAATAATCAACGCAGTTGATTTCGAATTTAAACCAAACCAAACAGTATTTAATATTGTGACATGTGGACATTTACTATTTTATTATTATTATTATTATTATTATTATTATTTGCAGGGAGCGAGAGCCCCACATTCGGAGGGTCTAACGTCGGGTTTCCATTCTCCAAAATGACTCTGGATGACATGGCAACGGGCAGTGTCTCACCGCGTATCCTCTCCAACGAGATATCAGCACCGTACGAGGTGCCACAGTTTCCGATCGAGCAGCTGGAGAAGAAACTGGCCATCCAGCGGCAGCTGTCCAGCAGGTACCGTGACAGCTCGTACTTAGTCTGTTGAGTTTTGCTTCTCCCTTCATGGTTATTCGGCCAAGCAACTTAATCGTTTATGATATCACTTTATTGTACTCTGTTCCTGGTTCGGGATCTGATTTCAAGTTCTGAAGAAATAACTCTAAAAACTGATTCACTGTGATTTATTTTATGGTCATGTGAAATGTAAATACTGTCACATGTATTAGTGACTTGTAGAGGGAGTTTGGATTGGTGAATAGATTTACTGGATACTCACAAGTCGTAACTACAGATATTTATAACACGCTAAAGATTACTGCAAATATACTTAATAAATTCTTCAAATGACACGTTAAGTCTTCACATATTGATTTCTAATTATTCTTCAACATTTCTCTTAAAAATTCTGAAGTCCAATTCTGTTGACGCTCGCGGCTCCTAGTTGCAAATCGGGCTCTCTGATCTGAGTCTTATGTTAAGACGGACCGTGAGTCGGCCAGTCTCTCTTGGAATAAAGCACCCATTTGGGGATTATGACCAGACTTTTATTACTGTCAGACAGTTGCGGGTTTCTTGATGTGGGGAGCTCTCTCTGATGAAAGCACGGGTATGTCGTTTACAATTGTTGTTGGTCCTCGCCAGCGCAGTCATTCTCGGGTCAGAGTCACTTGAAACTCGTGGCCATATTTTACTGTCTCAGATTCAAGTCTTCCATTTTCGTCGCCTCTTACTACTCGCAGGGCTCCGGTGGAGGTATTCGAACCCGCCTCCATACGAGAATGATCCCATCCAAGGTCAGAGAAAAAGTGAAAGTTACGTTACGACCGACGGTCAGTTGGCCAGTCTATCTTGGAATAAAGTACCCACCTGGAGCTTAAGACCAGTTTCTTATTACTGCCAGACAGTTGCAACCTTGTTGATGTGGGGCGTTCTCTCTGACGAAAGGACGGGTCTGTCGTTTGCCAGAGTCACAGTCAGTAGTAATAAGTCTGTTGTCAGTATGTACAGTTTATGTTTTACATTGTCCGTGCTGAGTCTTTGTAACGAGAGTCTGTAACTACGATGATCTGATCATATACACATCCTCTCTTGTCGAAACGCCTCTGTTAGGGTTTCCACGTGATCGCTACCCAGCCAGTTCATTGTCACGCTGGCTGCTGCGTAACAACGGTCCCGTATTCTTGTCATGCGCTTAAGCGGCAAGGTGTTTATCGCGCCGTTGCCTAGCTATGCACGGTACAGTACACACACTGCATGTGCTGTAAACAGGCTCTACCTACTATAGGCCTAGGTGCCGAAGAGTTTGGAGACTCAGCAGTTATCTGTAGATAAATTCTAATATTTTGTGTTTATGATGATTATGGTGATGATGATGATGATCCTGATGACGATGACGACGACGGCGACGACTGCAAACTTTGGCTTAATTTCAGTGCTTGCAAAGTTTTAAGCCAGTAATGTACGTAAAACTATTCGAACTTTTAGGGACAGAGTTAATTAGCTGGAACTAAACAGGGGAGGAGGGGGGGTAAATGGATTTGAGTTTTGTATAGAGTCATAAATGCACACTATATAAGAAGGGTTACCAGCTTGAAAGAAGTAAACCTAATTAATTTCATTTATGTCTTCGTTTCGTCATTATACCCTTCTCATCTGCCCTCTGAATCAGGTTGTGGCAGTGTTTTGTCTTTTCTCCCATTAGCCCTCTTCCAGAAAACAACCCTTTTAAAGGGTTACTGTTACTCTTCTTCGTGACTTCCTTGTACCTCTTTTGTTCTTTCAGAACATTATTCCCCCCAGTCATTGTTTTCTTTCGGTAATGACTTTTTAAAGCACGCGGTAGCGTATTTGGCTGAGGCACTATGCTAAAAGCCGGAAGGTCGCGGGTTCGAACCCGATGATGTCACCGAATTTTTCAATTTACCGAATCCTTCCAGGCGCACCTTGGCCCTGGGTTCGACTCAGCCTCTAACAGAAATGAGTACCAGGAATTTTCTTAAGGGTATAGGGCGGCCGGCGCATAAGGCTGACAACCTCACGGCCATCTGTGAGCCTCAGCGTCTCACAACCACATTGGCCTCCACGGCCTGTTTTAGGCATAGTTCTTTTTAATTATCCTTTAAAGTAAGGATGAGCAAAATGCCGATCGCAGTCTGCCGGTGGACCGCGAATCAGTTTTGGGTGAACCGAAATACGTAGGAGAATGGTAATAATATTGCTGTAAATTGTAATTTATAGGGATTTCTTAAGTTAATTTCTGGAACCCCAAGAGCGATAAAAATATCCAAATCTCGGAGAAGTATCCAGGAAGCCTCACAGTACGATCCACTTATCCGCTCCTCAGTCCCTTTGCTATCCACTGTTCTGAGCTTCACTGCGGGTCCTACGCAGGCCCCAAGCCTGAGACCACCGCATGCAACACAATTAACGACTAAGTGTGCAGATCAACCGAGCCAGCTTTCACTAAATGTAACACTGATGGTGACGTAGTGACATCGTTACCCTAATAACCACAATGCAGCAAATCACGACGGGTGTAAGGAAAACAGAGATAGAAAACCGAACTGCACTCGTTATGAGAACATTGTGTGGACTTTTCTGAAGAAAATAGAGCCCAGACTTCGGTGAGCATACGGCACACTTCTAGTGTGGGAAAGCTTCTGTCGTTGTGCCTGGCTGTTGTTTCGGAAAGCTTCTGTCATTGTGCCTGGCTACTGTTTGGGAAAGTTTCTATCATTGTGCCTGGTTACTGTTTGGGAAAGTTTCTGTGCTAATGCCACTCTGCTGTTTGGTAAAGTATCTATGCTTGTGCCTGGCTGCCGTTTGGGAAAGTTTCTGGCATTGTGCCTGGCTACTGTATGGGAAAGCTTCTGTCATTGTGCCTGGCTACTGTTTGGGAAAGTTTCTGTGCTAGTGCCACCCTGCTGTTGGTAAAGTTTCTATGCTTGTGCCTGGCTACTGTTTGGGAAAGCTTCTGGCATTGTGCCTGGCTACTATATGGGAAAGCTTCTGTCATTGTACCTGGCTACTGTTTGGGAAAGTTTCTATGCTTGTACCTGGCTACTTTTTTATGCATTTCCTATGCTTCTGCCTGGCTACTGTTTTGAGATCTGGTCACAGTTTACAGTTTCTCTTATTTAAGACCCGGCAGTAGTTTAAAATCTGCTTTGAGAATCTGATTCTTTCTTGGACCCGACCGCTGCTACAATTTCTATAACAATACACAGTTAATATCTGAGACCCTGTCATTGTTTTCAGTTTCCGTATTGGTGCTGGCTATATGCATCGGTATTCATGTTCTTCACATGCTTAATGCTGCTAGGGCAGGGGTTGTGATGGGACACGAAAGAGGACAAGACCTTAAATGGTTAGACAAATGAAAAGAGACTAAGGCATATATGGGACAATAATATTTAAATGTTTTCGGGTAAAAGGGTTCAGAATATTTCATTCATATTCTGCTGTATCAGTTCACAGTGAGTTGGAGACTCCTGTGGTGAATTCGATGGACTTGTTCTAGAAATGACGCATTTCTTTGAATAATTGGCCATCTTTTGTCAGCTCAAAGAACACTTATGTAAGAAGCAATATTCAGCCACATTGTGCATGGGTCTGTAGTTCTTAAACCTAGTTAGATAAATACACACTTGACCGATCGTATCAGCTTACTGGTAACACGTGTGACCCGTATTCTGGCGATTCTGACACACTTGTTCTTCGAGTGTTTTATGGTAGCCTAAGGAGAACTACTTCTCTTCTGTGTTCCCAGGCTGTGACAGTAGGTTTTCATGAGTTAGACATGAGGCACAGCTTTTTACTCATTACTTTGCACCGCAAGTAACGATGCCCATGGGATATGGACCGTGACAACCTAACTGTCGCTCAGCTACTGGAGAAGTTTCCCACCTCTTATTCTTTGCCGATCGCAAGAACCGGTCGTTGTACCTTATTTTACGTGATATACGTATATCCCGCCCATAAGGACATACGCAATTCATCCAAGATCGTTTGTAATCTGCACCTAGTTCTCTCAATTGTGTGTTTTCCTTTTGAATATCTGGTTGGAATTTTGTTTGCGCAAATCTGCTTGCTATATGGCCGAGCCATTTCACCTTTTGTAATTTCACCACCCTGACAATATTTGAAGAAAAGTACAAATTATGGAGCGCCCCATTATACGAATTCCTCCAGGTCACGATTATTTACCCCCCCCCTTTCAGGTACACCTGAATGACACTTATCATTCCCCTGCATATAAAGAAACACGAAAAATATGGGCATCTGCTGGTTCAGTGGTATTGTTTTTCCCATGTGATTTACTTCTGCGCCATAGTTCTGACATGTTCCTTGGTAGGGCTGATTCCATTTCCCGTTGTCTTCAATTAACCTGACGTGACATACCTAGTTTCGGACCTTATGTCAATTTTCATTCCCTAGATTGTTCCAGAGGTCTCGTCTCCAAGTAGCTGGCTGTATATACATTTAGTAACATACCAGTCATCTTTTACGGCATGGGTTGTTGCATCGCCCAGCCCAGTCTCTCAGCTGGAGGACCACCCATGTCGGCTGTCTGCTGCTGTTACCCACCGCAGCAAAATTTGTTTGTTTCGGACGCAACATAAAATCTTGACATGACTGCATTTCCCGTATATAATCACTCTATTAACCCAGTTGACACTAAAGAACGCGCAGTTGATTCCGCGTCCGTCAACCAGCCTTACGGACCGAAGCCATACATACAGACACGCAAGCGCGCCCGCTGTGTTTACAGCAAGAAAGTCCGCGGACAGTGGCGCAGTGTGTGAAACACGCATCAAGCCTTGATGGGTTGGCCCCTCCGCATTGAATACTGAGCGAGACTGAGCACTGTACAGTCATGCAGTAGCGCACGGTCATGGGACGTCAGCAGGATGTTCCAGCATGCCCGCGACTCCAAGCGATGGCAACGAGAAAACATGAGGTGAGGGAAGCTCTCGTGGAATGTTTTATTATTACGTCTATTTTCCGTAGTTTAA